AATTATAACATGAAGATGCTTCAATCTTGATTTCATCCAAAAGAAGAAGTTTTGGGTTTTGGTTTACTCAAACTGAGAGCCAAGATCTATATTTATATACAAGAATAGGGTATAAAGAAAGGAAACCAAATCAAAGAAAGACATAAAATATGCCAAAATCTACGGAATCCCATGATTATGGGGATCTTATCTACAGGATCCCATAATTACAGGGATCTTATCTACGTGATCCCATGATTATAGGAATCTTACATAAAACATCTAATAAAAGGCTAAAAACAACTAATAAAAATAAAAATAAAAATAATAAAGATATTTCAACACTCCCTCTCAAGCTGGAGTGAAGATATCAATCAAGCCCAGCTTGGTAATCGAGAAATGAAGCAAAGATGGACCAACAGATTTGGTGAACACATCGACCGACTGATTAGAGGAACGAACAAAGCATGGCTTGATAATTCCCGAACGAACTTTCTCTCTGATAAAATGAATGTCCACCTCTATATGTTTAGTCCTCTCGTGACGAACAGAATCTGAAGCAAGCATGATGGCTGACCTATTATCACAAAACAAGTCTGAGGACTGTTTTTCACCTAGCCCTAGCTCCTCCAAGAAAGATTGAAGCCAGAGAATCTCACAAGTACCCTGAGCCATGGCACGATACTTAGCCTCTGCTGAAGATCTCGAAACTATAGGGTGTTTCTTACTTTTCCAGGATATAAGATGGTCTCCATAGAAAGTACAGAAGCCAGATGTGGAACGTCTGTCAGTCTTGGATCCAGCATAGTCTGCATCACTAAAACAGGATAGCCCAACTTGCTTGCTAGAAGAATAGAATAATCCAAGTCCAGGATAGGACTTATGATATCGAAGAATATGATATACTGCATCCATATGAGCTGTACGAGGAGCATGCATAAACTGGCTCACAACACTAACCGCAAAAGCCAAATCAGGACGGGTGTTGGTAAGATAAATCAATCTTCCTACCAAGTGCTGATACTGCGAAGGATCAGAAAGGAGCTCTCCGGACTCGGTCGAGATCTTCGGATTAGGATCCATAGGAGTGGAAGCAGATTTACACCTAAGCATGCTCGTATCTCGAAGAAGATCCAAGACATACTTTCTTTGCGATAAGGAGATACCTTGCTTAGATCTAGCAACCTCAATTCCCAAAAAAAATATGAGCTGCCTAAGGTATTTCACATCAAAAGCTTTAGCCAATTGAAGCTTTACTTGAGTAATCCCAGGGATGTCATTGCCAGTAATGATTATATCATCAACATAGACAAGCAAAATGATACATCGACCATTGGAGGAACGACGGATAAAACATGTATGTTCAGAATGACATCTAACAAACTCCATGGATAGAATTACATCACTAAAGCGGCTGAACCAAGGTCTGGGAGATTGTTTTAATCCATACAAAGACTTCCGCAATCGACAGACCTTTCCAGCATACTCCCCCTCAGCCCGAAAACCGGGTGGAGGATCCATGTAAATAGTCTCAAGAAGATCACCGTTAAGGAAAGCATTCTTCACGTCAAGCTGATGAAGAAGCCAATTGTGAGAGGCAGCAAGGGAGACAAGCAAACGAATTGAGGTCAATTTAGCCACAAGAGCGAAGGTATCATTAAAGTCTTTACCAGGAATCTGAGTAAACCCTTTGGCCACCAAGCTGGCTTTGTACCAATCAATAGAACCATCAACCAGATATTTAACACTGAATACCCATTTGCAACCAACAGTCTTTTCACCAGGAGGGAGAGATACAAGCTCCCATGTTTCATTATACTGCAAAGCATCCATTTCTACCTTCATAGCAGACATCCAATTGGGATTCCGGAGAGCCTTAGACAACGTTCTGGGAATGGAAATGGAATCAAGTTTGCCTAAAAAGGCTCGGTAAGACCCTGAAAGACCATCATAAGAGATATACTGCGAAATAGGATGATCAGTACTACAAGCGAATCCAAATCTAGCAGGGGGTTTGCGGTCCCGAGTTGGATACCGAGACTCGGGAACAGGGACTGGGTCAGGGCAATGTAAAGGAGAGAGAGATGTACCTGAACCTGAGTCTGAGGAAGATGAAGGCAGTTGAGGCGGAGCACGAGGGCGGCGTGAATAGACCTGCAAAGGGGGTGAGGAAACAACAAGAGAAGACTCTTCTTGGAAAATAAGAAAAGGACGAGCAAGATGAGAAGCCTCTTGATCAAGAGTAGAAGTTTCCTGCAAGATAGTGTTAGAACCATAAAAGGGGGAATGCTCATGAAAGGTGACATCAAGAGAGTGATACATGTGTTTGTGTACTGGATCATAACACCGGTAACCTTTTGACATGGAAGAGTATCCTAAAAAGATACATTTAATGGCCTTGTCATCAAGTTTAGTACGAGAAGGGCTACGATTCTGAACAAAACAAGTACATCCAACCAACCGAGGCATGATGGAAAAAAGAGTAATATCAGGCTGAAGCACTTGTAAGGGGGCCTTACCATTTAAGACTCTACTAGTGGTACGATTAATGAGAAAAGTAGTTGTAAGAACCGCTATATGCCAAAATAACTTTGGCACATTCATACCACTTCAAAGACATCGAACAACTGACATTAGTTGGCGGTTTTTACGCTCTGTAACGCCATTCTGTTCAGGGGCATATGAGCAAGTAAGTTGATGAAGAATACCTTGTTGGTTAAGTTGAGACCGAAACTCATTAGAAACATATTCACGACCATTGTCAGACCTAATATTCCTAACAACAGTTTTATATTGAGTTTTGATCATTTGGAGGAATTGAGTGAACAAGGGAAGAACTTCAGATTTCTTTTTAAGTAAATATACCCATGTGCAACGGGAATAATCATCAATGAATGTGACATAATAATGATGCCCCAAAAAAGCAGTAATAGGAGAAAGACCCCACACATCAGAATGTATGAGATCAAACATACTAGGTGCACGATGCATATGAGAAATATAACTGGTTCTAGTATATTTAGAAAGCTCACAAATCTCACATTGAAACTTATTATCCTTACAAGCCGTTTTTAATGAAGGGAAAAGTAGACATAAATACTGAAAGTTTACATGCCCAAGGCGAGCATGCCATAAACTTAAAGTCTGAAAAGAAAAATCATAAGACCTCGAAATGGAAGAACAGAGGCTTGAAGCAAGTGGAGGGGGTGTCGGTGGAGGATCCCCAAAGTAGTAGAGGCCATTGTGCTCATATCCCCTGCCAAAAATCCTCTTCGAACACAGGTCCTTTAAAACACAGTAATGAGGAAAGAAAATCACTGCACAATTTAGTGATTTGGCAAGCTTGCTAACCGATAGAAGATTAAATGCAAAGTTAGGAACAAAAAGAACAGATGGCAAAATAATATCAGGGGATAGATGAACATTTCCTTTGCTACGAATAATGGTGGTTGACCCATCGGCTAGACTAACAGCCTGATTAACAGGGGTAACGGGAGTAGAAAATAATGACAACTCACCAGTCATGTGATCATTGGCTCTGGAATCCAGAACCCAAGTAGGTTTTCCCGCTTTAACATGATAAGCAGAAGGAGTACCTGTAGCTATAGTAGTCGTGGGAGTAGAAGAGCCGGCCCTAGTAGATAAGGCTCCGAACTGCTCCTGAAACTGACCAATCTGGGACTGTAACTGTTTGAAGTCCTAAAAAGATGATCTGGGAGGAGTTGAAGCAGGAGGGATAACAATCTGTGGAGTAGTATACCCACCAATAGTATTGGCTATTGCGGTAGTGTGACCACGGCCTGAAGATAAATTGTCATTTTGGCTACTAGAATCACTCATAGTACCAAACTAAGACTGGTCCACAAGTCGAAGAGGGAGGAAAGAGAAAAAATAAGGCCTCGGCGCTTTCCACCAAATATGCTGCCGAACAAACACGGGCAGCCCACAAAAAAAAAAAAAAAACACACCAGAAGCACCCTTAGATCATAAAAAAACCTAAGGGAATTCTCCTAAAAAAGGAGTCAAAAATAGAGGGTTATTCGAGGAGTTCGGTGCAAGGGCTGGGAAGAGATGGAGGTGCACTGGAGGTGAGGGAAAATGGAGAGAGGGAGAGAGAAGGTGGCGGCGTTGGGGAGGAAGATGGGGAGGCGAAGGTTTTTGTTTTGCTCTGATACCAAAAAGAAGAAGTTTGGGTTTTGGCTTACTCAAACTGAGAGCCAAGATCTATATTTATATACAAGAATAGGGTACAAAGAAAGGAAACCAAATCAAAGAAAGACATAAAATATGCCAAAATCTACGGGATCCCATGATTACGGGGATCTTATCTACGGGATCCCGTAATTACAGGGATCTTATCTACGTGATCCCATGATTATAGGGATCTTACATAAAACATCTAATAAAAGGCTAAAAACAGCTAATAAAAATAAAAATAAAAATAAAAATAATAAAGATATTTCAACACATCCAAAGGATTATTAAGTTCTAGATTTCCACTTTGCTTGTTAGAGTAGCTTATTGTTCCATAAGAACTCATCAATGACAATGAAGTCCCAACAACTTGCAAGCGAATCATTTTTGTATTATTACGTCCCACTATTAGTACATTTCATGCTAGTTCTTGTTGGAAATATCCTTGCCTTGCGCTGCATGTAGACCCATAAATCCTCAATATAAATTTGTATATTGAGCATGAAAATGTCATGATTATGGGCAGTTACAATTTAATCATATGTTTTAGTTTGTTTTTCAGATTTAACTGGTCTGAGAACTTCTGAAATTGAGGGCCATCTTCATTTCTATTTGCTTGTATGTTAGGATAAGAACATTCCTTTCCTGCATCCTGGTTAAGTATGCTAACTGCTCAGTTATTTAATATGACTAGCACATCCGATTATGATCTTGGTGAATCTAGGTTGTGCAATGAACTGTCTGATAAGATATTTGCATCTGTTGCTTCTTGATAATGGTATCTGCCACATATAGCTCTGACTGATCAATTATTTCCTCCTCGTTAGGTTGTCACCTGCCTTCGTCAACCATCACAAGGACCAACTTTTGGAATTAAAGGGGGTGCTGCAGGTGGTGGTTACAGTCAAGTGATCCCAATGGATGAATTCAATCTTCACTTAACAGGGGATATCCATGCAATAACAGCTGCGAACAACCTTTTAGCTGCTGCCATTGATACCCGAATTTTTCATGAATCAACCCAAAGTGATAAAGCTCTTTTCAACCGGTTATGTCCACCAAACAAAGAAGGTAACCGCAGCTTTAGCAATATAATGTTTAGGCGTTTGAAGAAACTTGGTATCTCCAAGACCAAACCTGAGGATCTTACTGCAGAGGAAGTCAAAAAGTTTGCTAGGCTTGATATTGATCCTGCTTCTATCACGTGGAGAAGAGTTATGGATGTCAATGATCGGTTCTTGAGGAAGATTACAGTTGGTCAGGGCCCTGAAGAGAAAGGGATGGTGAGAGAAACTGGATTTGATATTTCTGTTGCTAGTGAGATAATGGCAGTTTTGGCTCTGACAACTTCTCTGGCTGATATGAGAGAGAGGCTTGGAAAAATGGTGATTGGGAATAGCAAGGCTGGTGACCCTGTTACTGCTGATGACCTTGGTATTGGAGGTGCTTTAACTGTATTAATGAAAGATGCCATAAACCCTACTTTGATGCAGACTCTTGAAGGAACCCCTGTTCTTGTCCATGCGGGTCCTTTTGCAAATATTGCTCATGGGAATTCTTCTATTGTGGCTGATAAGATTGCTCTAAAGCTGGTGGGACCAGGTGGTTTTGTGGTCACAGAAGCAGGCTTTGGTGCCGATATTGGAACTGAGAAGTTTATGAATATCAAATGTCGATATAGTGGGCTATTCCCTCAATGTGCTGTTATTGTGGCAACAATAAGGGCCCTCAAAATGCACGGCGGAGGGCCACAAGTTGTAGCTGGGAAGCCTCTTGATCATGCCTACGTAACTGAGAATGTCGCTCTTGTTGAAGCTGGTTGTGTGAATCTGGCTAGGCACATCTCAAACACAAAAGCTTATGGCGTCAATGTTGTGGTAGCCGTGAACATGTTCTCAACTGATTCCGAGGCTGAACTAAATGTAGTCAGAAATGCAGCAATGGCTGCTGGGGCATTTGATGCTGTAGTTTGTACTCATCATGCCCATGGTGGAAAAGGAGCGGTTAGTAGCTTATTCCTTTTTCTTTTCTTTTCTTTTCTTTTTTTGTTTTTTGTTTTTTGTTTTTTGTTTTTGTTTTGACCTTTTTCAGTTTTTGCCTTTGGGGCTGAGGGATTCCAATTTACAGTTTACAGAACTACAAGAAAAACAGCTGTGAATGTTGGCTCTCGACAAACATAGATTGAAATTAAAATCACATTAAAAGTCTACCAAAACTATGAATTGACTCACTTCAACAATTGATGGCCTCTTCATGGGGTATAACCTGACTAAACTCTAAATATGGTGTCTAGTAATTAGAATCACTTTAGATTTTGAGAAAATTATTGGAAAGTCTATATTTGTAAGGTTTTTGGCTGTTGGTGTTATTCTTTCTACCTCATTTATCAATGGAGAAGGTTTCCCTACTAAAATCAGGGAGGCAAGAATGAACGGACAGATAAAGAGCCCCTTAAAAAATATCAGTTCACCAACTTGCTGGTGTGAATATGACAATCGCACATTACAAAAGGCAAAAAATGCATTTTAATTCTGCCTGTGTCGTGCTTAGGGCCTTATCTTTACACAGCCGGTTCCAAGCTTTAAGAAGAGGAGAGGCTGGGTTAATTAGTTTGACTGTAAAGTTTCTGTCTTATATGAACATCTAGATGAACATGATTCCTAAGAATATACTAAGTAAATAGTGGTATGGCGAAACATAATTGATTTAGTCGACCCTAACTTGTTGGGAAAAAGTTTTTGATGAGTTGTTTGTGACGAAATGATGAATACTTCATTATGGTTGTTTTGCCATACATTGTTAGCGTTGTTGGCTTTATCTCACTGGTACATGCTTTGTTAAATTCGGTTTGTGAAAAACTTGGCGTTGGCTTCAAGAAACGAGCTTTTACTCTGTAAGATGTTAAAATGTACTGAAATATCCATAGACCTGTTACCCCATCTTATCTCTAAAATCTGATCCCCTATTTCAGGCCTATAATTTATCCAAGCGCTTCTGCTAATGCAGCCATTTAAAAACATTCTCGAATCTTATTTGATCTCCTTTCAATTGAAGTTATTATGGTCAGGCCAAGGGCAATCCACTTTCTGGTCTCTCAAATTTTGCATCAAGAGCCTTGAGATAGTTATTTACTTGAATTCAAACTCAAAACAGTAAATATTCTGAAGTTGAAAACAGTAGTTACCATTGCCGCTTCATGTTATCTTCTCCTTTTCTTGTCTGGTGTATGTCTCAGTGAGAACATCATGAAAAACCACTGAATCCTGATTAGAAGTCATCAGAACTATTTTGTAGTTGGGGATGAGGGGAGAAAAATTGTCATTTCAATCAGAGGATCTTATCTAATCTATTGGCATCTGTTAAAGATGGAAAACTCTCCTTAGGTAGCAGATTTCCAAAAGATAGCCCCTGCATGTGCTTGTAGCACATACTATCATCTCCCCGCCACCACTAGAGAGCTTTGATTAACTAATGAATTTGTATTGTGATTTTCAGGTAGACCTTGGCATTGCAGTTCAAAGAGCCTGTGAGAATGTGACACAGCCATTGAAATTCTTGTATCCTTTGGATATTGGCATCAAAGAGAAGATAGAAGCAATAGCGAAGTCTTACGGGGCCAGTGGTGTTGAATACTCCGAACAGGTGAACTCTTTTAAATGTTTTAGCAATTCATTTTTCGTCTACATGATGAGTTCAGTAAAATCATATCGGAAAAATTGTAAAACTTTTCAGACATCGATTTCCGTCCTGATAGCAAGAACAAATTTCACGATTTTGATTTTCTTTTATTTTTACAAGTTCTATTAAAATTAATTGCTTAGTAGGGCAAAGTTGGCTGACAATTTTTTTTTTTACAAAAAAAGTTTTAGCAATTCATTTTTCGTCTACATGATGAGTTCAGTAAAATCATATTAGAAAAAATGTAAAACTTTTCTGACATCGATTTCCGTCCTGATATCAAGAATGAATTTCACGATTTTGATTTTCTTTTATTTTTACATGTTCTATTAAAATTGATTGTTTAGTAGGGCAAAGTTTGCTGACAATTTTATTTAAAATTTAGTATAGTTTGCTCGGAAGCATGCTGGAATTAGCAGCTTGTTACCCAGAAAGTGGCATTCCAATGTTTTTTTTAGCATTTTTATTAGTAGATTTTTTACCCTTGCTATTGACATGCATTCATTTTTACTGGGTGACTAGGCTGAGAAACAGATTGAGATGTACAGCAAGCAAGGGTTTTCTGGTCTGCCAATCTGCATGGCGAAAACCCAGTATTCATTTTCACACGATCCTTCTCAAAAGGGAGCCCCAACTGGGTTCGTCTTACCAATCAGGGATGTAAGGGCAAGCATTGGAGCTGGATTCATTTATCCTTTAGTTGGGGCAATGAGCACAATGCCTGGGCTACCTACAAGGCCTTGCTTTTACGATATTGATCTCGATACGGCCACCGGAAGGGTTATTGGTCTTTCTTGAGGGTCATGTGATCTCTATGGAGTTTGGATGACTTTCCCACTTGTTGATTATATGGTGGAAAATATTCGAACGAAGTCCAAGTTGGAGCTCAGCTCCCTTCCCCGTTGCAGTTGCTCAAACATTTGGTACTGTTCTTTGCCATCTTGTTTTCTGTATCTCACACAGATATAACTTGCGAATAAAGATAAACATTCTTGTTGGTACTCCTTGTGTTTATCCTAGATTACGCACTTTCGATGGAGGTTGGAATGTTGTGGAACTCCATTGATAGTGTTCTGGTATGAGCTTGATTTTGCATTCTCTTAAAAGAATGAAATTCATGTGGAAAAATCCCAAACTTTGAAGTTTGGTGGTGACTACTCTTGAAGTAGGAGTGAAACTGACCTCACCTTTGTTTTAAAGTGTGAAAGAGTTTGGTCACATTGAGGTATTTGCATGTTATGTGGAGTTTATAGTTTTTTCTTGATGTAGAGTTATAGTAGGGGGGGTAGAAAATTTAGAACATGTTCCCCTACGCATAAGGGTAGACCTGTAAATCAATCCGATTCGAATAAGATAAGCTATTAACATGACCTATATTTTTGTGAACGAATTCATATTCGATTTGCTATCAAACGATCCAATAATTTGACTCGTGTTGTTCTTTTCTTTTTCTTTGTAAAATAAATTAATGTCGAAAGAGAATAATAAACAATGATTAGAATAAAAATGATAGAAAGCAAAAGAAAAATAAAATATGGAGTAAGAAGAAAAAAAGAGAGGGAAGAGAGGAGGAAAAACTAATGATAAGAATATTTTGATAATATGTGAACATCTATAATAAAATATATTATATTGGATTGGATTATTATCAGATCGAATTGATCATAATTTATATCTGATTTGTTTAGCTAACGAATTTGAATTCTTAACAGATTATCAAATTAAATATTCAATTCATATTTGAGTTGTTTAATTGAATTCGGATCAAAATTCAATATATTAACTTCCTTATTTCAATATTTGGTCTATGATTATAATTTATTGTTCAATGAGATGATATAAATCTAAGCAAGCTTGGTAGGTTGATTCAGGAATTTGTATTTAATGCTAATAATTACAACAGTGTTTAGCAATTATGACTGAATTTTTGTTTATTTTTTATTTTTATTTATTTATTTATTTTTTCTTATCATGTTAAAGTAAAAGTTAGTGGGTACGAAAGCTAGAAGTCGGACTCCTTAAAACAACGGGGAGCAATATGTTATTACCTTGGAATGATTTTGTTGTTAAGTGACTAATTTTGATGTTTAATGTAAATGAATGGCTATTTGTACATGTTTGTGAGTTGGGACGGGGCATTGAAGGTTAAAATGACCAAAGGAGGGGACCAAAATAGGTTTCGGGCAAGAGCTCCATTTTTCTGGGCAGCTTCGAGCGCTTGACTTGGGCGTATGAGAGCTCGTTCGCCACTGGGGGTGCCACTGCGCGCGGGGCCCCCCGGGTGGGGGGGGGGGGGGGGGGGGGGGGGGGTGGGGGGAATGTCCTATGAGCGCTAGGCAAGTGCTCGTTATTGGACTTCACCCACTGCTTTTTTTTTTACCTTCTCCGATCCTTCCGAGCTTCACCGTGTGGTTAAGGTCTAACATCGGGCTTGAATATGCAATATTCAACGCTCATCACACCCCCAAACATACATATTACTAGTCCCTTAGCAATACAGAATTAAAAAGCCGCTTTCATGGGAATCACGGTTGCATTAGCTTATACAACAAGCCTTTAAACCCCCTAGGTTATCCTTAGTGGACGAATTGTAGTCTTGTGAGAGTTTTCAGTGATAGTACTCACAAACATCTCAAATCAGTACCTTACTTGCACAATAAGCTCATTCAAACCTGTTTTCACATCATAATGTCCCAGCAATACGACCAATTTAGTCCACTTTCATATCCTGTGTTTGTGTTTGTTTCTATCTGAGAAGAGTGAGTTTGGCGTAGTAGTCAGCCTATTAAAAAATAATATTCATCATACGTTTAATGAAAGAGTACTGTTAAACTTATTCTTTTCAAAAATGTTTTAATGGATTAATGACACATCGGTCGCTAAAAATACCAATTGGAGGCTTTTTTTTTTTTTTTTTTAATCATTTTTCTTAATAAAAATAGCTATTTATATCGATAAATTATTTTGTAGACCACGTAATAATTTATCCTCCACATTTTAATTTGTTACATTTTCATTGGCCGGACCAATGATACAGAATGCCCTGAGAAAAGTTTTAAAAAGCATGAAGGACACATTTGTGTCGCGTTCATAATTTATTTGTAAGGAGCATTAATTTTTTTTTTTTGACAAGTAAAATATAATTTGTATAAATTTTGGGGAGATGCAAACCCCCCCCCCCCCCCCCCCCCATTTCGTATTGGTACTTATCGAGTATAGAATAAATCTGCTTCTCTAACTCCAGACGAGCAACTTCCCTCTCTCTTTCCATATCTCTATATTGGGCTCTCTTTCTCTCTCTAGGGTTTCGGTTTCCTCCCAATATCTATCTCAGTAACCCTTAGGGTATCATATTCTTTTGACGGCTGTACGTGAAAAGACCCGTTTACAGTGCAATCGGATCTTGATCTGTGCCCAACCCAGGTGAGAGAGTCCATCAACATACCATGATTACCTCCCAAAAGTTACTTGTATTACCAGATCACCTTGTGACCAGTTTGATCTTGGTCTTGGACAGGTCAAGGGTTCGATCCGGTACTTGCTTGTCTTCAAGAGGTACTTGTGTTGTTTCTATTCTCTGTCTAAACCCATTATCACCTGTTTCTGCTACTAATTTATTTACTGCTTCATTTGGGTTTAATTTATTCCATCAAATGCCAACTCTAGCCTACTCAACTGTTGTTTCCTGCACAATGAAATGTTTATCTTCTCACTTCGCATTATGCAAAAGATTAATTTTTGGTCTCGGAACTCTGTTCACACACTCTATACAGAAATTGATTTTCTCTACACCTTGTCCAAAAGATTTATTTTTGGTCTGGTAAGTCTGTTCATCTCCATAATATCTATGATGACAGACTTTAGAGCCACACCCTATCTTGTATTTGCAGAAGATATGAAATTGATTTTCTCTACACTTTAACCAAAAGATTGATAACTTTGTTCATCTCCATAATATCTATGATGACAGGCTTTGGAGCGACACCCTACATTGTTATTGTTTTTGGACAGAAGATATGAAATTGATTTTATCTACACCTTACCCAAAAAAGATTGATTTTTGGTCTCGTAATCTTGTTCATGTCCATAATCTCCATATTGGAGTCGCACTCTATCTTGTTTTTGACAGAAGAAAGCATGGATTCGTGCTCGGAGGTTACATCTAATGATCAAATCTGGTGGCATTTTCGGCAAACATTTGATGATTGTTTGCTCTTCTTCCAGATCAAGTAGATAGAAGAAATAGTTTGTTTAATATGTATCATTATGTCATGTTGTCTATAAGATTGTTGTTGTTACCATTGTTGGTATAGATTTAAGACTATCTACTTGACATTCTTACATTGTTGTTGCGACCATTGTTGTTTCGGTATGGATTTAAGACTATCTGACTGGTGGTTCATAACTAATAGAAAGAAAAAGGGTATCACATGTAAACTAATAATTTTTTATATTATTTTGGTTGTATAGAATTTGAGAAAATTTTGGTCCTAACATAGCCTTAAGAATGAATGGGGGTATTTTACCATCCGGTCCAAGATCAGCTGTGGGATGAGTCTCCTCTTGTAACATTCTTCCTTATTTGAACTCGCAATGTTTTCATTGCGGTCAGATCACCTGCTTAATTAGTGTTTTGACCCGAATGTCTCTCGATTGAGTGCTCGACGTGACATTGAACTAAAGATTGAGTCTGCATTGTATTTGATTTTTTTATTTTTGTAATAAGATACGGAAGGGCAAAACCCAACAAAAAGGCCCAAGGGGAAAAAACAAGAGCAGCCCACATCAACCACTCCATCCACAAGACATTGCTCAAACTAGTGGAATAGAGTACACACAGGGCACACACAGGGCAAAATGAACCAATTGCAAAAGCATTCCAAAGACAATCATGAACTGAGTACAGAATAGTTATTAACGGCTATCAAGAAAAAATTAGGAGTGGCAATATTAGGAGCGGTAATATTTGACCTGCATGCTAATATGATTAGAACACGGTACAAATTGACACGGTAATTAAGCAGGTTGTGTTTGTGATTGATTCACCAACCCGTTTATAACTTGAGTAATCTGTTTGAACTAAATGTATCAAATAACCGTGTTGTGTTTGTGTTAAGAATGACTTAAATCATATCTTGTCAAGTCTTACCCATTTATTAAACGATTTATGTGTGTAATAAATTTTTTTAATTTTTTGGTACTCACACACACATGTCCTCACTGAGGTTTGAATTCTTGACTTCCATTTGAAAGTAAAGACCTGATACAGCTAAGTCACTGGCCTATTAATTAATTACGCATGTAATAATTGTATGTGTTCCTGTCAATTTTTTCGTGTGGTATTTTTATGGAGCCATATAACATAATACCCCATGTTATGCTCCTAAAAAATATATATATATATAAGAGGGAAGAAGAGAAAAAGTAATGATGAGAATAAATTAATAATATGTAAATATTATATAACATAAAATTAGATTATATATTTAATATATTATATCTAATTTGTTGGAACTTGGACTAACAAATTCAAATATATATTTAATATATTATATCTAATTTGAGTTATCCAGTTAAATTCGAATCAAAAGAATACATAAGGGTCTTCCTTATTTCAATGCTTAATTTATAATTACAATTTATTGTTCAATCCGTTATTACTGAGATGATATAAATTTAACTCATTTTGAAAAAACAAATACGAATCTTGAAAAAAAATTACTCCATCCAAGTGTCCAACCTCTTTTTATTTTTTTTTGGTAAAAGAAAATATATACCAACCTCTAATTCAAACCCTACTTTGTCCGAACCTATAAACAATAAAGCCACACTTCTATCTTTGTGGTATTCGACGTGACTATCGGTCGGTGCTACTTGGAGAAATGCAAACCACATCTCTCTCTCTCTACGTATAAAATAGCAACTTCCTCCTCCTTTCTCATATCTCTAGGGTTCCTGTTTCCTCCGGTATCATTCTCAGTGACCCTTAGGTAGCATATGTTTTTGGCGGCTATAAGTGAAAAAGCTTTCAAAGGGAAAAGAGATCCGATAGGAGTCGAAGCTTGAACTCATGATTCGGTATTCGATTCACAGTGCAATCGGATCTTGATCTGCGCCTATCCCTGGTGAGAGAATGAATCAATATACCATGATTTCCTCCCAAAAGGTACTTGTATTACCAGATCAGCTTTTGACCCGTTGGATCTTGCTTGTTGTCTTCAAGAGGTACTTGTATTGTTTCTATGCTGTGTCTAAACCCATTATCACCTGGTTCTACTACTAATATAGTAGTAGTTCCATTTGCTGCTTCATTTGGGTTTAATTTATTCCATCAAATGCCAACTCTGCCCTCCATTGTTGAGTTTGTTATACTTATAGGGTTTATTACCGGAATCAAATATTACTCCTCAACTGTTGTTTCTCTGTACAATGAAATTCTTTTGACCCATGAATATCGGAATGAATTGTTACTGTCATTTGATTTTCATTAAAAAAAAAAATCAGATTTAATAGGCTTACTCCATGACTTGGAACAAACTTGACTCCTATATTGTGGAGTTTTGTTGCACTATATTTGAATGGTAAAAAATGGAGTATATGATTAGGGGACTTGTTTTCCAGGTTTTCTATTTCATCACCAATATTTTCTAGTCCAAAGAATGAAAGGATACATCTATGGAGGGAGATTGGGCGTCGGCCTATACTAGTATTAGTATCCAGTAGTACTAGTATCTGGCGGGATACGTTCCACTGTCAGCCTGAACAACAATTTTTCAAGAAGGAAGAAGGGGATCTGGTTATCGAGCAATAGCAGGTCACATCTGACACTCTGACCTGGTTGTACTTCAAATGGTACTTCTGCAAATTTGGGTCAGACATGTGTACGTAATTCTTGTAAAGTAGTTCAATTATGAAGCAACCATCCATCACCATGGAGTTTACATAATCGAAGTCACCATACCAATTAGGCCTACAGTAGTACTAGTATCCAATAGTACTAATATCCAGCGGGATACGTTCACTGGAAGAAGGGGATCTGGTTGTTGAGCAATAGCAGGTCACGTCTGACACTCTGACCTGATTGTACTTCAAATGGTACTTCTGCAAAATTGGGTCAAATATGTCTACGTAATTCTTGTAAAGAAGTTCAATTATGAAGCAACCATCTATCACCATGGAGTTTACATAATCGAAGTCACCATACCAATTAGGCCTATAGTAGTACTAGTATCTGGCGGGATACGTTCTACTGTCAGCCTAAACAACAGTTCTTCAAGAAGGAAGAAGGGGATCTGGTTATCGAGCAATAATAGGTCACGTCTGACACTCTGACCTGACTGTACTTCAAATGGTACTTCTGCAAATCTGGGTCAGACATGTGTACGTAATTCTTGTAAAGAAGTTCAATTATGAAGCAACCATCCATCACCATGGAGTTTACATAATCAAAGTCACCATACCAATTAGGCCTTTGGGAATAGCATTCCTCAACAAGGGACTTCAAATTTAACATGGCTTCCGTACATTCTGCTACTGTTGCCACAAGTGTTCCATTTTGCTCAAGTAGCTCACTCATATACCTCTTTTTCACCGCCACAATTGCCTCTTGGACGATAGGCGCCCTCATATTGTACACGAAGCACATCCGGGACCGTATAAATGCCCAGGACCCTTGTCGCGGGCAGTTTGCCAGCAATCGGAGACTCTGTTGCATGATCTGTTTTAATCTATATCTCCCTGAACAATCTCCATCATCCTCTGAAGAAGCTCTGAATTTCCTTCTTCGTCCATTACCGTAGCTTTGTGTTTGTCTTAAATTGTCAGGAATTGTGGGTTGGTTTGAGCAAGCAAGTTAATACCAGTGCACTGGATCTAAGCGACTTATATGTGTTGTTTTTATGTACTGATAATCTTATTTAGAGTGAAAAAAAAACAGCGGTTAAAAGATTAATTTTTGATCTCGTAACTCTATTCATCTCCTTAGTATTTATGATAGTAGACTTTGGAGCCACACTCTTACATCTACTTATGGTAGTGGCATTTTTAGCCAACATTATTATATGATCTGTTTGTTGTTGGGATCAAGTAGATAGAAGAAATAGTTTTATTTTAAATATGTATCATTACGTTATGGCTGTCCATAACATTGTTGTTGTAGACGAACTATAAGTTTGTTTAATTGGTTTCTAATGGGTTTTGCATTTTGAAAACATACATTTGTTATGGGATTATGTATACCTTCTCTTGTTTTGTTGATCAGTCATTGCAGACCATTGGAAACACTTAACCTGACATCCACATTACACATAGAAGATGTGTCTTACTTTTATTTGTTCTGAGTTTAAATTTCCTCAATGGTATTCATAGAGGACATCAGATAAAACTAAAAATAGTCTATGATGTACATTGTTGATCTTCAAGTGCGAATTATATTTGTTGCGGCTAGTGAGGATATGGGTGTTTTAACGCCAGCGCACACAACCGCCTTATTAAGGTTGACACTGTAATTATCTATATTACAGAAAAAACCCACGATTTTAGAATTAGTTCCAAAATTCCTATTTTTACTTTATTAACATTGTCACCAAATTTGTAGGTAAAAATTAAATATTTTGAAGACACATCCACTTTCTCTAAAAACAAAACATGGTGGATTGCTACCATTCACCTTTTAACATTTCAAAGCCGCTGATAGTTCCAAGGAAAACCTTGGTAATTACTTGGGACCGCAATGGGCGATTTTGGAGGGGCAGGGGATTATTAGAGGGAGAAAATTTTAATTGTACCGGTTCTATTCATAATGTGGTATCTCTAACTGATAATATATGAAAACGTAGTAATAAGATCTCCGAAAATAAATTTTTTTAATAAATTTTTTTACTTGTGTGATTGGATACTAGATGGTATAGATAACAAAGCAGGGCCGTCTTTTTTTGAGAGGAAGGGAAAAAAAAACAAACAACAAAACTCCATTACGTTCACAAACAACATGTTTCATTCTGTCCTTGCTTCTAATTAGGTTTACTATTCCGATATTCCGTTTCCACTTGCCCAGTCCTGTTTAAATTCCCACTCATTTTACAATTCAATAAACATTTTTTTTCAAAGTTAGGACAAATTGTACCAAATTAAATAAACATTAACATTCTCCCAACAAAATCACAGAAGTGGTGCGGAGCGGGGCAACACGTGTGGGTTTTAAATGGGCCGGGTTGTTTTGCCAGAGATAGCTTTACTATGCTTTTTCTTCCTTCATATTTTATTTTATTTTATTTATTTTTAAATTTACTTTCCACGGTGGTATTCATGTCGTAACTTCGGATTAGTACTAAATAGAACAACTTATTGTGAAAGAAAAAAATTGGATATATGGTAAAATTAGGAATAAAGGTTTCAATGAATTCCACGAAATAAATTTAACAGATAGTGTAACAATTTCGTGTTTATATTGTAACAATGAATAGTAAATTTTTTTAAAAAAAAAACACAAAACTCTAGTGATATTTTTAAACTACTATTATATTTTTTAAAATTTGTAATACTTTTTTTTTTTAATCAAACGTCAAACATGTTTTCATTTTTTTGCTTTCTAAAAATCTTACAACAAATGGACATTATCAAACATGCTTCTGATTTTTATTCAAAACACTGTACAATAAAATACTTATTTTGTTTTGAGTAAAAACATAAACACAAAAAAAAAACGCTTATCAAGCCATGATAGAAAATTTATGTGAAAATGATCTTTTTGACTGCAGTGGAAGTTAGGGTTATAGAAAATTTATGTGGAAAGGATCTTTTTGACCCGTCCCACAAAGCAAGAGATAATTTAAGAAAAAACAGATTAGAAAAGGTAGTTCAACCGTAGTTGATTAGTTTGAAATTTGCAGTTGAGAAGAAAACAAGTAAATCACAACAGTTCAAATTCAAAAGGAAGAGTCTCCTCTAATATTTCCTCAAATCCCAACAAGTCGCAACAGTTGTACGAGAGCATTGCTATAAATATGACTTCTCACCAACCAAAGAGATATGCGACAATTAATACATTAAATTCCTGCTTTTAATTCAAAGATCCAGTAACTAACTTAATCATCGGAGAGCTCTTGGCAGGTACCACATCGGTATCGATCAAGGTTCACCTCTTTGTTGCAAGAAAACGGTGTCGTTCAGGATCGTGTAGAATCATGCTTCAACAATTGGTGCCGTCTAATTTCCCCAAAGAAATTAGGGTTCTGTTGTGATCCGATCTAAATATCGGTAAAAATCTTAAGTATCGAGCCTCGAGCGAGCAAGGTTCACGCACATTAAGCTTCTAGGAAGGGCTCATCCTAATCAAGCTTCGCAATGGCAAGGCTCATCCACATTAAGCTTTTGGCGATTGCACACTGATAAGCGCTGAAAAGTGCGCATTTAAACTTCTTAATCTTGAGTGTTCTAGGACCTTATTCTATCTTATTTCTCCATTTTAGTCTAATTTCATAATTTTCTCCTTTTCAGGCACTTATCCCCAAAATAAGTCAAATCAGAATTAGAGCATTGGAAGAAGCAATTTAAAGTCTAGTGGAAAAAAGGAGCAAAGTGGAAGTAAAGTGGTGAAAATTTCCATTTCGATCGATCGAACCAAGCTATGATCGATCACATTGTAATCGTTCCAACCTTGCCATGATGGATCGAACCCTTGTCCTTATCCTTAGAAAAATTTCCTATTCGATCGATCCAACCTTTTCTTCGATCGATCGAACCTTTTGATCTTATCCTCATAACCACTTTTGTCCTTTTCCTATAAATATCTCAGCCTTTGTCCTTATACAAATAATTGCGCCGCCATACTTCGATCGATCGAAGCAATAGTGTGATCGATCGAACTGCCTCAAAATGCGTGCAAAACAGATTTCAAGCTCAATTGAAGGTGTGCTTGTGGTGCAATCATTTGGAGGTCCTAGTGCACGAGGTCTGACCATTGGGTGTGACATTTGAGCTACCTATATAAGATATTTGGCTATTTTTAGTAAAGCGGTTGGTTAATTAGAGAGGGAATTGGCTAGAGATTAGGGAGAGAACACACACATTTTTGGGGAAGGTTCTTCCACTTTTCTAGGGTTTCTACTAAGAACACTAAGGGAGGAGGATGAAATCAACAATGAAGAGAGCCCTTGAGGGTTGGATGACAACAACCATGAGTGGCTAGATTATTCTCTTGGGCCTAGAGATAGCCCTAAGCATGCCTCATAGACTTTGATACCTTGTAATTAGTGGGGATTTGTGTTGTAATTATTATTTTGACCTCATATTTATATAAATCTTGTTTCTACATGGTTTGTGTAGTTTAATACTTCCACATGATCTTTTAATTCTATTCGTATATCTATGTATGTTAGAATGAATGGTCATATGATTTACACTTAATTTTTTACATTTAATGCATGTCTATGTGTATTAAAATAATAGGTCTAGTGTTGGTCAATGCATGGTGCTTAATATATTACTTTTGTGGTTTATTTGATAGATTATACTTTCTTGATGGATTGTGCTACTTCCTTAGCATAATTAGTTTAATTTTCATGTTATTAGCATAGTTGTAGTGTAATTGCTTTAATTTCCTAAATAGGTGGACAATCCATTCTTATTGTTTGATGATCCATGCTTATGAGTACAAGTAGTACATTTCTCTAGGTTCTTGTGTGTGTATTAATTGTGGGCTTATGGAAGGGTTAATGGCTTAATTTGATATGTTGTGCTATTCACTAAATTGATTAGACAATGTATGCTTATTTGGCCATCCATGTTTAATATTTGAATGTCTAGTAAGGCAAGGCTCAGTGATGAACTCTATGTCCCAATAGCTCTTTCTCATTCTCTACACCTCATTTATTCAGTTGTTTTAATTGCATTACTTTTATTTAAATTGTAGTATAACTTAACCAACAACCCCCCATCCCCTTTTTGATCACTCAACTTACTAATCTAATATTGATTCCGAAATACCTTGCAAATCCCTTAGGGCAATCCCTACTCACTTTTGCTACATTAGTAGTAGTTAGTAGTGGTAGTGACATTTTACAAATTCAAACTTGGCCACACTATCACAATCACAATTTCGGGACATCATAACGGCAAAGTGTCACCACACACTATATAGAGCCTCACACTGGCAAGGCTCACCCATATCAAATTCTTGACAAAGCTCACCCACATCGAGCCTCAGATAAGGGCTCACTTAATTCGAGCCTCGCACTGGTAAGCTTATCTGCATCAGCAAGGGTTTACCCAAGCCTCGTACTGGCAAGGCTCACCCACATCAAATTCTTGACAAAGGTCACCTACATCGAGCCTCTGATAAGGGCTCACTTAAATCAAGCCTCGCACTGGCAAGGCTCACCTGTATTAGCAAGGGTTTACCCAAGCCTGGCACTGGAAAGGCTCACCTAAACCTTGTAAAGGCAAGACTAAACAGCTCTACAAGGCCCAGGTCTCCACCAGGGTAGGGCCAGGAAGGTCTCCACCAAGGTTAGGCTAGACAATTCTCCAACCAAAGTAAGACCATATAATTCTCTCACAAAGGCCATATAGATCTCCCACCAGGGCAAGGCCAGAAGGTCTCGTATGAATGACAAACAGATCTCACACCAATGTCATACAGGTCTCTCAATAAGGCAGGGCCAACAAGGTCTCCCACCAAGGCAAGGCCAGGAAGGTTTCCCATCAAGGCTAGGCCAGACAAGTCTCCAACCAAAGTAAAACCAGACAATTTTCTCACCAAGTTCAGGTAGATCTCCCACCAGGGCAAGGCCAGGAGGTCTCGTATGAATGATAGGCAGATCTTACACCTATGTCATGCAAGTCTTCCACTAAGGCAGAGCCAACTAGGTCTTCCACCAAGGCATGCCAGGTCTCCCATCTCCCATCTCCCATTAAGGCCAAGCTAGACAGGTCTCCAACTAAGGCAATGCTAGGTAAATCTTGCACTAATGCTAT